ATTATGCGAATTAACTCTCAAAGGCTGCTTCGTTTTAACTAAATGATTCAAATATTCCCAGATCCAAGAATGTTGTGGGTACGAACCACGTCATTTGCGGCCTCCTACACCTCTGGGTAAGTTTATTATTCGGTCATGCGTGCCATAGAGCAGCTGAAACGCTGCACAGTTCCAAACTGCCTTTAAATAACCAAAGCCCGCCCGCTTTCGCGGTATTGCATTCCATAGACCCGAAAGCGACACCAGCATCTGCTTATAGTTGGACTGTCACTCATCTATCTATCCGTAGCAGCTATGGTTGGATGCAGCGATGCAGCGACCGGCCAATCCTTCCTGTCGATTCGTCTTCCTTTCTTTGGACCGGTTCCTCCTACCTGTCTTGACGAGGCACCTGATGCGCGGTAGCGCGTGAGCAGATCGAGCTTCTGCATCAATTCATCGACAAACCGATGAGGTATGCACGGAGAAAGTCACGCCACCGACCTCTGACCGACCCGCGTCTATATAAATGCAGGACGCCACTCCACTCCGATTTCCTCTACATTGACTCACGAATCTTTGTCCTTACAAGTGACTGCTTGATTATATACAACAATTTCTAGAGCCAAGGTTCGATCTTCCCTCGGAGCTCATTGCGTTTTGATGTTCAGTGAAAAAGCCAACGAAGCGCTTCGGCTCGGACATTGGGCGAAACTGAAGCCTCGCATCGCAACCCGCATTTATTCGATGACCTCGCGAGTCACCCTGCATTTTCCCGCACATTCTTCTTATATATATATATCTTAAGCATCGTAATGACTGTCTGGAGCAGTTTCTTTTTTTATTTTCGTTCGTACGGCAACGCAGACACCTTCCATGTCTCTGCGAACCCACCAGTCCACGATGAACGCTGCACAATGCGAACTTGACCTCTAAGTGGTCGAGCTGCGGACGACTGTTGAAGGTCAATGTTAATGTCATCGACAGAGACTTGATTTCGAAGAGTTCACCCTAGCCATAATCAAAAGACGCCGTTAAGTATGGAGGCAACAAGTAAACGGAGCGCCACGCGTTCAAGGTGAAAAGGGAGGTTCAATGGCCTGGCTGAAGAAAACAATTGTAGAGAATTTAGGGCAGGGTATACGGTGAGCTTGGTGACTTGTACTCACTAAACCAGCAATGTCTCGTATCTCTCTGTTTCCTCCTTCACGGGGCGCTTCTCTACTTTTAACTCACCGATTACCTCACAAACTTGGCGTCTAGAGCGCGTCCGCTGTGTTTTAAACTGACTTGTACTCGATGAGTTAACTGTGTATACCAAACGATAATATGAAATTTCACTGAATGCCACAATGTCTGCGTATTTTTTTAGAATTCCTCTCTTGTTCTCACGCATTGCATCACAGGAACGTGGCTGTCAAAAATATCAGCGCAAGAATCACTCCAGCACACAGAAGCTACATGATTCGGCCACTTTTTTTTTTCTGGACAATATAATCACACTCTCTTATCACCACCTGAGGCCATTGAGCACTTTTCCAACAACATTTAGCGGGCTTGTGTTTTCGAATGTTCGCAACGTTGCAATACTTTCAATTAAACAGGTGATAGGCGCAAAGTTTCGCTACCCTTGATCGAAACGGGAGAAATTTTAGTCTCCAAGTCTATAAGTGCATTCTAAGAAGTAAAGGAAGAGAAGGGGTATCGAGGTAACTCCTTTAGAGGAGTAACTAACTTGCCACACCTATTGCACCATTCTGGGAGTAACTTCGAAGGAGTAACCACGCTCTCGCGGTTACTCCTGAATGGAGCAACAGCTAGCAAAAGAAAAATAAGGTTCTGGTTGGCTTACCCAGCTTTTCGAAGTGCGTGCTGGCATTTGATTAGATGTGCATTCGATATGCAAGCATCACATTCAGAAACACATTTCGGAAATTTTGAAGCAAACACATGGGATTCGTACCCACGACCACTCAGTCAGCATGTGCGTACACTAACCACTACACCACACCATGCCACGGCACCATCCGTAAAGAAACGGGCTTGTGTAGGCACCGATGCATCGTTTGCACACGGCGCAAACATTCCTGCAGTTACTCAAAAAAAAAAAGGTGGGGGGGGGGGGGGTACACTAGCTATTTGAGGCCAGAACACGAGTATTGTGGACCAAGACGTACCGAGCAACATACGAAGGCACAGACACGGTATGTAGTGCGTGTGGAGAGGAGGAGAAAACGGCTGAACATTTGATAATGTTCTGTAAAGGGACCCGCCCTATAGTCGAAGATAATGGCGTCGAATTTTTCACAGCATTAGGGTTTAGGGACAGTGAAGGCAAAATAAGCATTAAACGGGTATGAATAACCAGAAGGAGGCTATCTTATTGGTGGCTACACTCGAGGCACGAGTGAAATTCAATTCTTAAACACACAGTGATAGTACTTGACTTTATGGCTAGGTGGCGTGAGCCACCAACCGATCTAAAGGGCACAGCCGGATACATCCATCTATCCATCCATCCATCCATCCATCCATCCATCCATCCATCCATCCATCCATCCATCCATCCATCCATCTAGGGAAATTCCCCTCCTTGCCGTTCTGTGCGCAATCTTTCGCTCGCATTCTGTCTTTAGGAGGATCAAAGAGCTTTTTTCGGGGTTAACTGCGCTGTTCCTCCACAAAACTTTTTAGAGTGTAGTCACGTGCTTTTAAAAGAAATGCTAGCCCTACGCTTGCGCGCAAATCTGGATTACAGGTTTCCAACTCACCCCCCCCCCCCTCGCTGCACTTCACACTGAGGGCCACGTACTCAGAAAGCAGTTTTAAAAAGGAGTCACTAGAGGTGAGGCATCTTACGTCCCCTCCCCCCCCCCCTTCTTCCGTGCGTACGTGAGTAGTGATAGGAGCAGTGCGCCGATCTCTCTCGTGGTAACTGGTCATTGTGGTACCTGGCGGGCTCGTTGCGGCTGGTCATCGCCATTCTCTGTCGCAAGTGAATGATGTTTTCCCGCTATCTGGGGGGGAGGGGGAAAGGAAAGAGAGTTCCTGTTGTACATCGTTACGTATAGCTATATGTTATAATCTATCTCCAGCAAGTTTGTGCACCAAGAGCTGCTTCTCATGTTTGCAGCTATAACGCACTACACGTTTTTCTCCGTTCGCTGCTGCGAGACACGCGCCGCGTGGTGCAACGCCGGCAGCCGAATGCATGCGTAGTTGCTATTCTCGTACCCCTCCGGCAGAGAGACGTGCGCCACTGCGTCGGACTCGTCACCGCTTAAAACGGCGAGGAATAAGCGCGCGCGGGCGGCGGTGTCAGGTCAAGAGCAGCCTTAATTCGATCGGACGCGCCCGATAAACAAGCGCGTTCACGCCCGCTCTATTGTCAGTCACGATGACGAGCCCGAAGCCGCTTTCTCCCGCCGAGAGATACACTAGAGAGCGCGCGCGTGCATCAGGACATTAAAGCGCTGCACGCCTTGTTACGCTTGTTTCTTTTGTGGCGGGGCGTTTCCTTTATTACCCGCGTTCTTTTCTGCCAGGAACTCCGGCCGCGACTCGGCTCCCTCGACGTGAAAATGGCCGAAGCGCTCGTCCGTCCACTGAGACGACAAGAAGAGTGACTGCGCTTCCTTGTTAAGGAGGCACTTACTTTGCCCTTGGTGGCCGTCTTTTTCTAGTGTCTTTATTTACCACGCAGAAAGCTTGGAAATGGGAAAGGCGTGCGGGCATCTCGCACAAAGTGGCAGCTGGCGACCATCGCGCTCGCTGTGACGTACGACGGCCTTCCTGCTGCCAAGGTCGCCACGGCGAGAAACTTCGGTTCGTTCCCTTTACTTCGTTTGTTGACCTCCCGCCACTACGGTGTGACCCGGGCTGTCGTGGTTCTGGCTACGGAGGCAACGCAGACGCACTATCCCCCCCCCTCCCTTCCTTCTTTATGCGCCAATGTTTGTCGTGAACTGAGAGACCAGCGAAAACGCGAGGGGGGGGGGGGTGGCAATAGGAAACGCCCGACGCGTACCCGATGATGACCCCTGAGGTGGGGGAATGGGAGAAGAGAGGGTGAGAGATATTTTTTTCTCGGCGGCTTTTCGCGGCAGGAGCGCATCGACGTTGGCGACCGCATGCGGGTCTGTCTACCGAGATCGCTCTCGCTCTTGCCGGTTCAGTGGGCGTGACAAGCCCTTGTTCGCTGCTGCCGCATCGAGGGGGCGAAAAGTTCGACCCCCTTTCTCCCAAATGTCGGGCCCCTCTACTTGGTCCATCAGAAGAAGGGGTCGCTGGAGGCAGGCGCACACACAGGCACGTCTTTCTTTCTCGCGAAGTGCACAAGTTCTTGAGGGCCTCGGACACTCTTCTCCTTTCTTTGTGCCCGCCGGGGACTTCACCGGCACTGCTCAGGCCGCTGGAAGCTACGCTGAGAGAGGTTCTCCACATACGCAAGCCGTCCCTACGCTTCCAGAGCTTCCAGGAAGCGCAGAAACTTTCTCTTTTTTTCATATTGTCTCTCTTCACCTGTTGCATAGGAAGGAAGACCCTGCCCGGAGACCGTGGCCTCTACCGTTGCCTGCGAAGGCGAGAACAACACGCTCTGTGTGAGAAGCGAGTCGGCTATTTTCGGGCCCTACCGAGCTAAAAGATCCGAGGAGGTACGACAGCCAGAAGAAGGAGGAGGTATCTTTCGAAACGTGGTTGGAGAGCCCCATTGAAGAATTCGCCATCCTGATTGATGAAGGAAACCGCCAGATCCTCCTCGGCGTGCCTCCGAATATCCTATCCTTCTCTCCGCTCGAGTACAGCGGCACTCTTCCACTCACGCTGTGAATGGTGAAGTGCGTATAAAAGTGGCTCTCGGCCCAACAACGACCAGTGTAGAACGCAAGACACTCCGCTGAAGAGGTGCCTAACTGACCAACGCGACGACCGAGCCTGCAGGTGCCGTCGGGCATCGCTTGTCCCCAACCGGCACCTATTCACCTTCCGCACGGCTTCCCGGCGACATCGGCGCCCGCAACATGCTGTCACCTCGGCAAAGGGCGACGTCAAGAGCGCCCTGGATGCTTCTACTGCTGGTCGTGCTCCTGCTGACCGGTGACCGCGCCGATGGCATCGAGAAGATCTACAAGATGAAGAAAGTCAAGAAGCTCGCCAAGCTCGCAATCCTGGCCAAGATTCTCAAGCCGCACCTTATACCCATCCCGTTCCCGGTGCTGGTGGAGAAGAAGCAGAATGGTTGGGACATGATGGGAGGCTGGCCAATGGGAGGCGGTGGCGGTTGGGCCATGGGCGGAGGTGGCTGGGACTCCGGAGGTGGTGGTGGTGGGGGTGGTGGCGGTGGTTGGTGGTGACAACAGCATCTGACGTTTCCTCAACACTTTTTTTTTTGCTTCACCGTTGTGCCACAGAGTATCGTCGCGTGGTCATAAGCATCTGCTCGTATTTGTCACCAGTTTACTTGCGTATGCTTCTTTGATCTGAATCAAACTTCTCGCTATTCCCTGTTTCGTACATGGCATTATAGTTTCATAGCGAAAAAAAAAATGAAATAGATCGCGTCTAGCTGAAACCTAACTTTACTTAGTTGTCAGCGTGTTTCATGAAAAGAGCAATAACGAAAGTGACAAGATTTAGAAAAGGGAGCAAATATTTAAAATATGAAATTATTTTAGCCTTTCTTTTCATTGGAGTCATCTAAACTTCTGATAAGTCTGGCTATAAAAAGAATTTGAACACCTGGTAATTAGCGGAGCTTACCTTGTTTATAACCCTTCGTTCAACTATTAAAACCTGTTCAATTTAAACCATGCAGTGGCATTGTCAACAAGCGGGGTAAATCCTTCGCGTCATTCGATAACTGCTCCTTATCCAAGCTTATATATCAAATGCTCGCTTTGTGTTAGGTTATTATACGTTAAACATCAACGCACACTGAGCTATATCTTTATGTTCGATATGAACTGCACGTACATTGAAGCGTTGAATAAACGTAACAATACGAACTATTTTCCCGCCGAGGACCCATAAACGGTAACATTACCGCCTCATTTCGTGAATAATCATTTCTACGTTGATGCTAAGAACTACTCACTGTTATGCTGAACCATTTTCGTAGCGCCTGCTCACACGTTGCCTTGGTAATACTGGATGAAACTAGAACTTTCCTGAATGTAGTGGGTGGCTGCAATCATTCTATTAATACTTAGCTTCTAACCCTTCCTTGTGCAACTTATGTCCTCAATGTCTCAAGTTCGTAGCGTATTCTCGTCGTCTATGTGCAATTGTGTACAAGTTCCGTAATCACCTCGATTTCATTTTCATTGCTTTCGCCCTTCTTCTTTGGTTTCTTGAATTAATTTTTGCTCAGGTTTCGCGGGGGAGGAGCGAGAACATATTACGTTATAACAAACTGCAACCCTACGAAAGCGCATTCTTTCTTTCTGTTTTCAGAGTGCTTTAACACCAATGTCCTTTTTCTATGCTGCGTTGAGGCTGTATGTGTTCTCCACTCAGTGTTTCGATTTCATTACATACGACATGGGTGTTTGTACTTCACCCGTGTTAATGAAAGCTTCGTTAACATTGCACTCGTGTTTGATTGTTGAGTGTTTGTTACCATTGTCCTAACTTCTTGTCTCGTTGTAAAGTGCTATTAAACATGCGTAAGTACTTGTTTTTGGATGTTTATCGTGGATTACGTTCTCAGAGGTTTACGAATCTGAAAATAATATAAGTATTCTCGTGTTCTTTGTTTTCGTGGGAGGTACGATTGTGTTCGTAGCTGTGCAACGTGTTCTGACATGTTATGTCTACTAGTCTACTGACATTTGTTTGTTGTGTTGTCAAGTATTGTCATACGTCTCATGCTGAAGACAGCAAGGTATTTTTTGCATTCTTGCTTGTTCCTATTTGTGTATTGTACCTCGGAAACATGTCCTGTGATACGTGTTTAGTCATGTCTCTTTTATGTACATAACAGCATGCGTATGTATTCTCTTTATTGTGGCCACAGCCTTCATCTAGCATTTCGTATCAACTTTTACTCACTCTGTATAGGTAAAATGTTATTAACATGCATTACTGTATATACTATTGACGTTACAAACTAGACAAAGAAATTTTACGTGTCCAAACAATAAAAACTTTCAGAGCTTCTAAGTGAGTTTTCATGTCTTTTATTCGACCAGCGTTGTAGCACATTGAAAAGGAGAAAATACGTTCAGGTACCATTTTATTTTTATGAGAAAAGTCATTTTCGTGGGCCAAGAAGTAAGTTCCGTTATGGCTTTTTTGTAACGTTTTTTTTCGCATATTTGTTGAGAAAAACAAAGAGAATATCTCTGAATTAAGTCATTGTCACTGCATTCGTATAGAAATATTCATTACAGAACATAGCTTAACCCCTAACGTAGATTCACAAAATTCCCTATGTGCGCTCCTCAACCGGTGAGGACTTAATATGGATTTTGCAATAGATACACAAACTAAGACCTCATGTCTTTTTGAAGAAATATAGTTATTGGGGGTGGTGGGAAGCTTTTTCTGCGCGTGTATGATTCGTACACGAACAGCCATATTAAAGAAATAAGGTAATAGTAAACACCACTAAACATACAACCCCTGCATGTCTCCTCTACACGCTGGCAAGTGGAAAGCTCTGCGTGTATAGTCTCGCATTATTACATGTTCGTGGTACTGTGTACAGTTCGGCAACGACATATCCTCGACATCCTGCTCAATATCTCAATCGTAGCTTGTTACCCGGTTAATCTTGGGTAGCGTATACCTAAATCTTGCCCTATAGTTCGCAAACTTAAGCAATCTGGTTACGCATAAATTCGTTTCAGCAGTACAGGTTGCCACATTTACATGTTAGTTCAACGACGTTTGCTTATGGGCAAAACTACACCATCAGCCTTGTCGAAGGCTGACGATTCACTTAAGATCACATATTTCCTAGCTGCGTACATTTTTAGCAAAAAAAGAGCTCTTCACTGATGTGTTAGCTCAAGGTATTGTGCCTCTAAATAAATTAAAAACACCAACTGAAAGTTTCTGTAAAGATCGAAAAAGAGACACCACATTGAACAGCAATGATGCAGCGCAAGACTTTGCATAAAATGGTGACGAAAGGACACCATAAGTGGCTACGGAAAAAAATGTTAAAGTAGTACGCTTTAAAGCAGAATAAGGGCCGCATTTTATAATATTTACATGACTGCTCTAAACACCTTCAAAAATAGAAACCCAGATTTTATTCATACATATCAAATTTATAAACACGGTTTGGTAGAATACACCGATTACAGAATGTATATACAGATATACATAATACACAGTTAGCTGTGCGCTGCGTATGTGGTGAGCGCAAAGTGGTGACAAAGGTTGTGACCCAAGTCACCATGTTTGAATGACACACGCAGTGCCCATCAATGCCAATATAGCTATCGATAGAGCGGGTAACTGTATCACGAAAAAGAAAACATGGCTGACCCATGTGTGATAGGGATCGGCATTACACGACAGTGAAACCAGTACCAGTATTCACAGAGGAAGTTGAGTGCTTATAGTGCTTTCTTTCGCCACAAGGGCAAATGCTATAAACAACAAAATCTAATGTCACCCGGAGGACGGCAAGTAGCTTTAAACTTGTAGCACGCTCATGAAGCAGAAAGGACGCACGAAAAGGACACACGCAGGGTATGCCGTAACTAGCAACAGTCACAGCTCGATACCCAAAGAATTCTGTTCACGCAAAAAGGAAGACACGCGAAACAAACACACAAGTCACAATTGTGACTACTTTGCGTGCGAGTAGCTCGCTGCTTTCGCAAACCCGACCACCGCAGCGAGCACAGAAAGCTTCGTTCACAATGTAACTTCCGCGCAAACTGGCGGGTAAGTACAAGACGTACTTGCTACCCCAATGTCATGGTAAGCTGTGCGCGCCGAGTGACCCCGCCCCTGTACAAGCGTTCGCGCATCGCAACGCGTGAGGCGGCAGCCATTAGAACGCGTCTTCCGCAATCTTCGCCCAATCTCTTTATAGTGATAACCAGAGCCCGTTGAAGCCACCTAGCTTTACCGCCAACAGTGAATGGTGCATATAATTAGCTCGCTGTTAGTAAAACTTCCAGCGTACGCTCTGTTGCAGAGGTTGTTCGATGCACGCGTGCTGAGGAGCGTGGGTTTAAGTCCCTAGAGTAGAGCTATTTCTTCTAGTTCTTTTTTATTTGCCTTATGCTAGCGTATATTACACGACGTAATGTCCATCACTGAAATACGTTAGTGGAGCCATGTAGATCAACGCCTTAAAGCACTTTCGTGTTACAAATTTAATTGTTGGGATACGTACTTTTTCGAATGAAGAAAAATTGATGAAAGAACAAACACAATCAATATCATGTGAAGTAACTTAAGCTGATCAGAATTATATGAAGAAACGCTTGTCCCAAGTTTATTATGGTCGATGGTAGAGAGGATGATTTCTTTTAAAGAAAAAGCTTCATCGTTAAAACGAATATCATTGTACATGACTATATGTTGCGGATATGTTTTATGGTTTACTTATGTTGCAAGGGTGACAAGGAAAAAAAAATATGTGATATGTGTGATATGTACGCATTATGCGTGATATGTAAAGAGCCTAACCCAATGCGATGTTAAAAACTTCAAGTATGGCATTGGCAAATATTGCTCGTTTCTTGCGGGAGCAGGACTCGAAATGAACGTGAACCTAATTGGTTTAACCTGCATCTTAGAAGCTACCACTTTCGTGTCAATAGGTGGCACTGGAGGAAAATGGGTGTTCTGTATTGCAGCAATGAAGAGCTTCCGAAAGAAAGATTCATTTACTCAAGCTACTCATATAATATCAGCATTTCAGCACTTAAGGCAGAATCCGCTTTACCGCATCCTTCTCATCGTCAGTGCACTTCCAATCTTTCATTTTTTTCACAAGTTCTTTTACAGCAAGCACCCTTAATAAACTCCATACATCGCTCCCGCTGCACGCATTTCACACCGCACCTCTCATCTGCATCAAGTCGCACGCCCACGTGCCCGAACTGCTCCATTCTCGCATCGTTCGTCCCATGCACTGCCAAAGGTTGGAGTGGCCTACCTGCCCGTACTTGTTCAAACAACGTGTAAATAATCAATGTGAAACAATTTAATGTATAATCACGTGCAAGTTTTCTTAACCCACCCCTATGCAATGTCTCCTTTGAGACCCTTAAGGTAAACAAACTGAAGAGCCTAACCCAATGCGATGTTAAAAACTTCAAGTATGACATTGGCAGTTCTTGCTTGTTCCTATCGGGAGCAGGACTCGAAATGAACTCGAATCTAA